CGTTAAAATCTCTTTCAAAATAAGCAATGCACACACTTTCACAGATATGAACTTGATGAGGAATTGCACTGTAGTCACTAATAAGAGGAAAATACTGCTTGAGCTGAATGCAAACACGCACTTGGCACGAATGATGTGTAGTACTAATAAAAAAAAAAAAAATCAAATACACTGACAGTCGTAAGATGATTACTACTCATTTGTGGCCAAAGATGGCTGTTGACACTACTCTTATGTGGCCAAAGATGGCGGTTGACAACTTTTTTCTTGTTTTGGAAACAAAATTATAAAATAAAAGCGATTTTTGGAAGGGGTGGATTTAGAGTAGTATTCGATTACAAGCGCACCCCTGCGCTGCCTGTGTCCGAGACTGAGAGGAGGGGAGATGCTGATAAAGTTCCTTTTTCTTATCAGTAGAAGGAAGGAGGGTCGGGTAACCGCGTTACTGTGTTAAAGTAACAACGGTCAGGAACACAAGCCGGAACAGTAATACTTAAAAAATTAATTAAATAATCACTGAATAGTGATGAAACTTACACTACTGAAGTCCTAGTGCTTTGCTGTAACTGCAGATACAAAAAAATCTCTTGTAAGGCTGAATATTCCGTTCACCGTGAAGCAAAATGTGGGAGCAAAATACATACGACCTCTTATCTCTGCGTATAGACGCGCTCTTACTACCGCATGTAAGTTCATACAGGGGTTGCCCCGTGTACAAGAAGCGATATGAAGCAAAGAAGCAGCAGGTGAAGCCAGCAGCTAAGATCCCTACGCCGGCGGATTTTCCGAAATTCATCGAAGCAGAGGAAGACACCAGTAAAACCCAGATGAAACCTCTCTACAGTGATAGAGTAAAGAAAAAATTGAAAAACCCACCCACAAAGTACAAGAATATCATAAACTGGATCCAAGTTCCTAAAATCAAAAAATTTCTGAACAGTATGGTTGAGCACGTTGAGAAGATCCGCGCTGCAAAAACCACGGCTGAGAAGTTTACTGCTGGGTTCAAAGCAGCCATGACCACTGATGAGATTTGCTGAAAGTGAAGAGTAATCACCAGCTTAGAAGCATTTGAGGGAATTTCACTATGTTTACGATTTCTTTTCACTTTTTCAACATACAGGTTCCCCTGTTTACAGCAAATCCGAGCAGCAGAGCTCGGATTGGTACTTGGGTACTTGGGTGGGTGACCACCCACGTGACTGGCCTCGACGTATCATCTTTCTTCATACTAGTGAAGATACATCACAGCTTGTACGGCGGCCAGATGCTTGAACCCTCCTCCAAAGTCTACTTGACCAACTCACGTGCATTAGCACAAGTTCCTGCTTCACCTTTGTCGGTGCGGTGTAAATTACCTTAATTTTTAATTCTTCCCAACGCCTTAGGGCATATCTCCAACAGAGATGGTTAAAGTAGCAGAGGCTACTAAATGCCGCCTAACCATTCACTCGATTTCGAGGAAAACCTCTCAATTCAGTTAGTCAGTGATTTTAGTTAGCTTGTTGTTGTTTTAAGAGTTTGTTTAGAAAACTGCTCTTGTTGATTGTAGCGAATTCGCAGATTAGCTTTCTTTAGCTGTTTTGAATTAAGTTCTATTGAACGTTTGAATAGTTAAAAGATAACTGCTGTGAGATATTGTAATACTGCACGAATATTTTAGGAAATTTAAGCATATTTGTTGTGATAATAATAAATTTTGTTCATTTTTCATCGGACTTGTGCATTCATTTCATAACGAACCCGTACGCACGCAACAGTATTTTTTCCCATATATTTATTTTTTATTACTTCTTGCATATATTTATATCAATAAGCAGTTAATTATCAGTTTTATTAGTCAAATTTTTGTAATCAATGCGATTATGCCGATCAGTTTGTAGAGTTATTAGGTTATTTTGAAGCAGAAAGACGTGAAAAATGTGCAATGCCCTCGCCGTCACTCGAACCCCGACCTCTCGAATACGCGTTGAGTGTGCTACAGTTACACCACGAAGGCATGCAGATAGGAGGGAGAAAATGCCTTTCTTTTAAAGGGCGACTGAGATTAGAGGACCCAGTCGCCAAATCCTGGTGTTGAAAAATCATTATCCAATATCTTTTAGATCGGGCGCCACTGTAGAGTCATTAGATTATTCGGAAGCAATAGACGGGAAAAAATGTCCAAAATGTGCAAAATTTAAAATATATGCACATAAAAAGTAAAATATTTATAGCCAGATGGCTATTATGATTTATTATTAGTTTCGCGTCTATCTCTAAGTAATTCGTGCAATGTGTCAATGGTTTGTAGAGTCATTAGTGTGTTTTTTATGCTAGAGATGTGAAAAATGAACAATGTCCTCGCCGAGACTCGAACCTAAACCTCTCGAATATGCGCCGAGTGTGCTACCGTTACACCACGAAGGTATGCAGAAAGGAGGGAGAAAATACATTATAAGTTACCGATACATGTTTTGTTATCGACCCTACGGTCATCTTATAACGAACTGATCTAATGTAATGATCATTGTACTGTATCCTATGCACCCCCTATGAAAAACAATATGTTTACTTTCCTGATTAGTTACCACAGTCTTAATGTACCCTTTCAAATAGTCACTCAGTACAAATTCTATCAAATTTTGTGTTTCTGAAATGTAAAAGTAAAGTATTTCATAAGAAATTACTGTACCAGTGTAGTGTATTGTAGCAAATATGAGGGTACACCATTATTGGTTTTTGTGGTTCCAGAATGCTTACGATTGTATGAATGATACTTATGGCACATAATGTCTGAATTTGTAAAGCACATTAAGTATGTACTTTTCAATGATCCTCCCGACTTGATCCTGTATTTGTATGATCCTATATTTCACATTCTGCTCCTAATACGCAAAATATTATATGCAAAATAATTACTTTAAAATATTGACTGGTATAAGTGTATGTGTATTATTTTGTATGGCATATTCTATGTATATTTATATATACAGCGCATTATTTATTTTATTTATTTATTTTTATTTTTTTTTTTTGAAGTTGTTTATGTATGAATAATATAATATTATTTAATCATATAATTTAATTGATACTTAGTATTTTGCATTTTAACCTTTTGCATTTTAACTGTATACGTACCAGCATTATGATTTAATAATCCTGTTTGATCAAGTACTGCATCATGCATGTGTAGGATACTGTATTTTTTTCTTCTTTTTTTAATTTTATTTATTTATTTTTATTTATTTTTATTTATTTATTTTTTTGAAGGTTTTTATGTATGAATAATATAATATTATTTAATCATATAACTTAATTGATACTTAGTATTTTGCATTTTAACCTTTTGCATTTTAACTGTATACGCACCAGCATTATGTTTTTAATAATCCTGTTTGATTATACACTGTATCATACATATGTAGGATATTGTATGGTTTATTTATATAGTACGATATCGTAAGTACTGTAATGTATGACCTGTAGTCCCACTAGTCTCTATATAAGGGTGGACGTGGTGCTATTACCAATTAACCATAACGGTAAAGGGATGGTGCCCACGTCCTCCGTCACTAAACTAAACTAAACCCTACGGTCATCTTCGACTCCCAGAGGTCTATACGGATCCCGTGGGGAACCCTGATTTAAACAATCTAATTGCATTTATCTTTTTCACCATGTGATTTACCTGTTACTACTGTACAACTTTAAAGATTTTTGGCTTTTTAGCAGATAAGGAATTTGGTGTTTCGAGCGGTAAAATCGCTGAACACTGGTAGCTCGGTCCGAGGTTCGAATCCCGCGAACGGGCTGGCTGCATGGGTGTTTTCGTGGTTTTCCCTATGTGTAACGTGTATACGAGCCAGTTCCCCTTAGAAAGTCCTCCACGAAGGCACCCGTCCCCTTAGGCAGATAGCCCTCGAGGCTTTTCCATAATCACACACACACACACACACATTTTCCCCTTCTGTAATAATGCTGTAATGTTACTTTTTAATTACATAAGAAAAAGGCCCATGTTAAATTTTTAAATAAATTTTAAAAAGAGAAGTAGTCTTAGGTTTTCAATCCCAGAAGCTTGGTGAAGTTACACCGCATCTATAAGAAATATAACGTTTCTGAATGGTTGTTGTTCTCATCAGGCATCCTTCACATTACATTCGTCCCATAGATTCAGACAATGATAATAGATTATTTCTGTGAAAATAAATTGCAAATACACCAATATGCATTAAGGAGCTATCACAAGACATGGTTCTTGACCTTTACAAAAGACTCTGTGTCGCTGTAGAAAACTATACAGCAATATGTAATTTAGGTTATAAATCTAAATCCTTATTCATGGAGTTTCTCTTGAACGGATCTGATATTTTGTCCATTTGGGGGGGGGGAGAAAAAACGCTTCACCATTGTTCATCTGTCTACAAGGAAGTTTAAAGATTTTATGATCTCTAAAGCAGTTAATTTTTTAAATGCGGTGTGTGTAAACCCATTTTCTAAATAGAAGCTCATTTACAACAGTGTGCTATTAATGCGTTTAATGATTAGGTTCCTTAATTAAGTTTACTACGTTTTATATTTGATCATACATGCACCGAAGTATTCATCCTTTTTGTTTGCCATGTCCGATATTTTAATATTTTTTATCTCCCAAAATCTTTTTAGATGCTAGTTCTCTTTCTGAATCTATATTTTTCAAAGTCTCGGCATTAACTTTTACAGCTTTGGAGCGGGACAATGTTAGGAAAATACTAATTTTAAAGATGTAAATGGCATAAATATTATTTTCTTATATCATTCAGTAAAAATGCAAGTAGGCCGAATGGAAGAATAAAAATTAGAAGAATTTAGAAGAAAGTTTATTCCCGTTCATTAAGCAAATACATAACAGTTTACTCCTCTCTTGAAATGCCATATATTTCAGTTTAGTTTAATAAAATTAATTCACATTTAATTTAAAATCATAAATATTCAAATGAGAATTTGATGGGAGCATTATAACAATTATTTATTTTCAGGTGAGCATTCAAGTGCACTTCGCCGTCAAGCACAGCAACGAGTGTCGCTCTTTGAAATGCACTTCGTGCAGTGCTTATTTCCGCACAGAAGTTGAATTCCAGGTGCATGTGAAGTTAGCTCATCTATCATCCAAAAATTTCCATGGGAGCAATCCCACGTCATATCGTTGCCTCCTGTGTGACCAGCTGTTTCCCAACGAAGTCCAGTTGCGATTCCATGCGTCCACTCACAAGAAGCAGTTCACGTGCAGTGCATGCGGGGACGCCTTTCATGTGGAATTCTTGCTTGACAGGCACATTCAGACCGTCCATCAGGGTGCCGTGACATCTTCTCCGCCTCTTCACCAGTACATGGGCCTTCAAAATAATAGCCCCGTGCCGCATCCAGCGTCCTCTGGTATTAAGCAACAAGCATCCACCTCGCAGGGAAACGAGGAAGCTCAAAACCTGTGCACGAAGAAGTCGGCCACTGGCACGCAATCCAGAGGTGATTGATTCATTTTATTGAAATCGTTTCTGATAATGATGAATTCTATTCTTTATTAACCCATTCTTTCAAAAACCCATTCTTCCTAAAATAAAAGACACCGGAATTAAAGTAGACCATAAAAAGCTTATAGCTTAGTTAGCTTAGTTCTGTTGCATTCATTTTCGGTCATAGAGGTACATCAAAATATAAATCGGGCAGATGTTTATTAGATGATTTCACGTGTCTTTGTTTGCTAATATTTTCATAGAAATGTTAGCCATATTTTTTTTTCATCTACAGATCCAGAAAATGCGCGTTTTAAAATACTTTTATTACATCGCTTTTCTTTAAGCTGTTTGGTGGTCGGGCTATCAATTTAAGCAAGTCCTCTAGGGATGAAAATCTTTATCTTTCCATGAGAAATTATATTGCACTCTTCAGAAAATGCAACATAGTTCACGTATGTATGAATGCTTGTTGCATTTTTCTGCATAAGGTAGCAGGCTTTGTAAATAATCGTTGATAAATTTTGTTACTGTACCCGATTCCTTTGCCTTGGCACTTAGTAACTTTTCATTGACTTCAAACACTTGCTACGGGATTCTGAATTGACTGCTGCTTCCTCTTTTCAGTTAACAACTAAGAGAAAAAAACCTATTGTATTCGTAATTACTTCATCTATTCCATGATTTTATCATATTATGCAAAATCTTTTAGATAGCTTTTGAATAACCGGTGTTGTGTTATTCTTTTTCCAGAATTCTCTTTCGGACTTGTCTCTTATGTATCTATAAAATCCCTATGTATTTAGACAGAAAGTGGAATCATATGCTGTTCATAATGGAAATATATTTTTGATTAGGTGAACAACAACATTCCTCCTCCGATCCGAATTCCACAACCACATCAGTTACCAATCCTGCTGTATCATCGCCTTCAACTGCTTCCGTCAGCACGACTTCAGCAACAACCGCGAGTCGAGCTGACTATCGATGCGATATATGCGACGTCGTCTGCTCGTCGGAGTCTGGACTGGCAGCTCATAGACGACAAGCTCATCACTTGCGACTGCACAAAGAACACAAATCCGGCAGCAGTCCGGGAGCGGTGAGCCTTTTCTGTGCCTACTGCAATGAATCTTGTAAATCGAGAGGAGAACTCGAAAACCACATGAAGGCGCATACAGCCACGCCCAGCAAGCACAAATGCAACATCTGTGATGAAATGTGTCCATCGGCGACCACGTTAGCTGAGCATAAACTTACTCACTGTAAGGTAAGTCCATTTAGGCATTGAAATGTTTGACTCGGAGAAATTAAAAATGCTTTCGCTTCTTCACAGGAGGAACGTCATGTAGTGTTTAAGTTAATAACTTTAATGTTATTGCAATATAACTATTTTCACGAATTTTTAACTCTACGAATATCCAAAGTTTCGGTCTTGAACTCTTAAAATTTCCAAAAAGGCCAGGAGTTAGAGATATTTCCTTGATTATAATTTCAACATGACCCTCCCAATTTGTAACTTGAATCTTATTCTCCCAATATATATGCTACTTTAATTATCTTGATATATTTCAATATGCGCGTCTGTGTATTTAAAAATATCGAGAGTTACATTTTTGATGGGTTACATTTTATATATATATACGGTTTGTATGCTTAGAGAGGACTTTCTAGGATTTCGCGAATATTAAATCTTTCCGCAAGAGTCGAATAAATTCGGGAATTTAGATTTTTCTCTGTTTTTTTAATGTTTATTTCAGTTTTTACGTTATATATAAATAGTTTTTATGATTTTTCTTTAGCATTTTCACAAAACTGCGCTGCGAAGTAATTTTAATACGAAACTGGAACTAGAAGACTGAACTCTGAATCACATTATGTTTTACTGAAATTCTAGAATATGAGAAGAAGAAATTTCTTAAAGAGACATAAACCATTTTCTGTTGTCTGCTAATGCCGAATGCTTTATTTATAATACACTTGCTTTTTAATGAAAAAAATTTGCTCATTTATAAATGTAAATGTATTTTTTCATTTCTACATGAAATAAAATTTAGAACATTGAAACAACTATCCAGTTAAACTGAAATCCTGATTTAAAATAATTGTGCTATGTACATTTTCAAAATCTGATAGATTATAAATGTTAACTTTAATTAAAAATGTAAAATATAATATGAATTTAGTTGTGTAAAAGAGTAGTTTCCCATTTTCCCGGACCTCATCATGGCCGCCAATTTATCGCCAAGTTCGCCTGAAATGAATTTAAATAGTGCATCTTTGCTGGAAGAATGAAGTAACATCTACCTGTCATCGGTTAATCAAAAACTGAGAAAATCGAAATAAAATGTGGTCTACTCATAGCTCTCAGTGTTCAGTAAATCGGAAAATTTTAACATTCTTTTGTTTAGATTTTGTTTAGTTTAGCGTATTTTCGCTACTTACCTCAAAAACATCTCGTGAATTTTGCCTTGCCATGCTGCAAAATTACTGCTCTATCACAAACCAATAATGCTGCATAGCTGTACAGCATGGATTTCTTTACAGACTTTAAATTAGGCACTCTTTGAGAATAAATAAAAAAATACAATTCGTAATTCCATAATTAGCTGAGAGATTTGAAAGCAATAAGCGCATCTTAATTATATATAACTTTCTTTTATTTTTATTTAAATTTTATTATTTTTACATTTAGTTTACATGTATTAGTTTAAATTTTATTTTTACTTAATTTTATTTACAAAATTTATTTAATTTACATAACATTGTTAGTGTTATTTTAATTTATATCTTATTTTTAGCGTAATTAATTTATTTAATTTATAAAAATTAAAAACTATATCTATTCTGTGCCAAGTAAACGTAATGCTATACATTTATGATACGGAATCCTTTAGACTTATATTTTAAACTCTTTTGCTGCACCAGTAGCAGAGTGGTTAAAACAGCTGAATAGTTTGAGGCTGACCCGTGTTCGATCCCAAATTTAAACGGGCTGGTTGCATGGGTGATTTTCGTGGTTTTCTGTATGTGTAACGAGAATATGAGCGATTACCCTTAGAAAGCTTTCAAGGAAAGCATCTCTCCCTTTAGTCAGACATCCATTGTGTGATTAGCTATATTCGAATAATTTAGCTTTTATATTTTTAATCGTATAGACGAAATTCTAAAATTAATAGTCCTTTAGAGTTCACTAAAAATTAATTATATTAAATATAATAGGCGCCTCTGTTATCAAATAATATCGAAAGGCTTCACATGTTATTAACGGATGCATTTACATTAATGCATTGCTGACAATTAATGAACTGTGAATGCGATTATCTAAACATTAGTATGCATTGCACTTGAGAGGAAAAGGATAATATTTTTCCATAACTACTTTTTTTAAAGTTTTTAAAACAATTCACAATTCCACTTATAATTCTTCTCCATACTTAAGTTTCTGATTGTTAAATGAGATAATAATGTAAATATTCTGTATTATAGCCTCAATCCAAAGAAGACAAATGTAACTTCAGTATAATCTGACTTATAACCTCTGTTAATCATCCAATACTTTTCATATCTAAATATTTTATAATAAAATATTCCAATCTAAAATCAGTCTTAATTACTGAAAATCGAATATATTTTTAATCTTCAGTAGACAAGACTGAGATATGCTGTTGGAATAAATTCTAAAATCATTGTTTGATAAGGCTATTTTGGTATTTTCATGGCATTCAAAGCTATTGTTTAGCAGGGTTCAAATTCATGTAATTTGTTTTTAAGTATTTAATTCTGCTTATCTTTTCCTGTCATTTATTGCTTGATTGAACACATCAATATGGAAGATATTCAGTAGATTAAATAGTTCAACATGGCTAACATATTAATTTAAAATTGTGATCATATATATGTTAAAATTATGCACACAGTATTTAATTGAATCTGATTAAAGAAAACCTTATATAGATGACCATAAGAGACAGTGTTCATTAAATTGATGGCCGTACTGTATTCGTTTTGAGGAAATTTTCTTAATCATAATAAGTTGCTCAAATCCAGCAAACTCCATTCTAAAGGATGACCCAAATGTTGCACAAATCAAATTTTTGAAAACTGAAGAAATATTAAAGTGGACATTAACGGCAAATTATTTCAATATATGGCACCTCTACACTTTACGCAAACAATATATGAGTTGAAAATTAAGTTGCAGTTTACGCTATTAGCTTTAATTTGTTTAGTGCAAGATGGGAATGAATTTTTCCAAGGTGATCGGCGATATATTTATGAATATAACTGAATTATAATTATTTAAACACCTGGTAATTTTCCCAGAAAAATGCAGGACAGCTGTCCTTCTTATAAAGGCCTGCCGTCTAATAGATACCAAAAGTATAATGGGGATGTCAATTTCCGTGCGTTAGTTATGATTAACCTTTCTGATCTGTACGTAATCCAGATCAGGTCTACATATTCACTGTAGCCAAATTGCAGGAGATTGCGTCAGTCATTACCAAGGCTTTGGGCACCTTGTATGTTATAATAACAGTCTGCTCAGCTCCATCCAAGTTTTGATGAACATTTCGGGGGCTCTAATCCAAAGGTTTCCTTACCTCTCTTTTCTCTGTCACAACCTCTCTAGGAGACTTTGGACTTGATGCTATTTTAAATGCCCTCTGTTGTACCTCTCACATACAGCGAGGATAAGTCTGGCAACAGCTGCAGGAAGAAAAACTTGGCAGTGCTGGAATGGCAACAGCGGATGATATTCTATAGATTTTAATTTTTTGATTTTGAGTCGATGTTTTCCGTTGCGATACTATTGCTTTAAAACATTTGAATTTTGGGTGAATGAAATGAATCCGCTGTCCCGCTGCGGATATTAGTAAAATATATTTAAAAAATTAGCTGCGTTGGAAAGGATGAAACCTTGTGTTTGAATTTGCGGTATTTTTCCTCCTAAAGTTGCGTCGAGTTCAGAATATTATGCCAGGCTTATTCACGCTGGTGCAGATAAGTTCAAATTTTGTTTATTGTGTTTATAGTGTATAACTTGCAAATATATGAATAGAATTCTATTAAATAAACGTTTAAAATTCTGGAATGGTGTTTTAAAATTTTAGATGTAGAGTATTCATATTGCTATGTCGGAGCCAGTGGCAGTCAGGTGTAAAGTAAAATTGTTTTTGCTCCACGACATAACGCCCCCATGCTGTTAAGATATTAAACATTTTCAAGTTTGAAAATGTTTAAAGTTTCGAACTTTTGTATAATACCTTACCAGCATGTCTTCCGCATGATTTGAAGTTGGACCCAACGGTATGGCAATCATCACTGCTAATCACTCTTCCGATCGGTGTAACATCTTGCATTTTTCGTATATGTAATCGGGGTTCTTTATATTATTTTCCTATTTGTTTTGTTAAATTTTGTCTGCGTATGTCTTACGCAACATGTCTTTTTCTTAACGATGTACTCTGTTTTCATTTTGTAATGCTTAGTACAATTCTAGCGTGCCATTCTCCTTAAAAAAAAACGAATAGTTTCAAATTCATTATTTTTAAAATCACAGAGATCTAGCCTTAAAAACTGGAAGGAAATATTGCTTAAAAAGAGCTAAAAGTTATTAACAAAGACGAACATGTCAGAGTATAAAAAACAAAACTGTACATTCTGTTAACAAAAAAGGAGGGCTACTGTTAAACCTGATTGCGGATATGAGATAGATATTTATTATCAAGTTATACCACTGGAAATCACCGGTATCGCTTAAAATATGTACCTACATTTATTTACTTTGTTTACTAATTATTTTGTCTCTTATACAGGTAATATCTGGGAGTACCTGTATTGTGTGTCGTGTTCAACTTTCAAGCGAAGACCAGTTCTTGAGTCATATTCAGCAACATAACACGTCATCTCCCAACACCAGCGGCAATGGTCTTCCGGTGCCTTGTGTTGTATGCAGACAAACCTTGGTGGTGGATGTCGAAGTTCGCATGCACGCTAAGTTCCATTTAAAGCATGCATCATATGAGCCTCCTTTGGGTACACCAGCACCTTGCTGCGTGTGCTCCAGAATGTTCGATCCTGGAAATCTCATCATCCGTGCGAGCGGTAAAGCATCAGACTCCCTTCCTCCACATACGTACATGTGTAAAGACTGTTTCCATTCTAAAGGCGACGGAGAGATGGGTTCTTTGAGGTGTTCCGATTGTGGTGTTAAATTTGAATCTTACGGAGACCTTGATCTTCACAGAAAAGTTATGCATCATCGAGGTGACAAGAAAACATATCAATGCATCAAATGTCAGATGTCTTTTGAGTCTGAGGCAGATATACAAGCTCATGTCACCTGCCATGTGTTACACGAGGGAACACACCATGAGTGTAGACTGTGCCATGAGGTGAGTTCTTGCACGGTTGATATAAACTCTTAAATCCCATAACTTTTTAACATTTTACATGCAGCAATTGTTAATAAAATGAATATTGTATAAACTTGTGTTTGTAAGAAAAGTAACGAAATAACATACTGAAGAACTAAATGTTAAAGCAATTAATAATTAGCAAGAAACAGGAATCTGTGAAGTGAGACTAATTTTACAGGACAATAGTTTAGACGATAACTCTTGTAAATAGTTTTGCAGGTTGTTTCTGCTGATTAGTACAGTGGGTGATCGGTTAACGAACATTTCCAAGATTATGTTCGCTATCCGAATTGTTCGTTAACCGATCACCGATTTACCATATATGTTAATGGGAATTCGATTAATTCGTTCCGGAGAACCTAAAAATTAAATTTAAAAAATGTCATGTACAAGTGTAATTTCTTAGTAAGTTTATTTATTACAAATATAATACATACATATAGTCTTACGTCTTAATCAGTCCTTTTCCTTTCTTTGGACGTTAAAGAACATGCCCAATGTCGATTGTTTTTCTCTCTCCTTCAGGAAATGATTGATAGCAATATCGTTGTAGAGATCAGCAACCCTATTGGCATCAGCTTGGTTTGGCTGCCATTTTAAGACAGTTGCTCTGACATCCTCCCACTTCTTCAAAAGATCTTTAATGGCAGATGTCGGCATTGCTCCTCTTTGGTCTTCCTCTTTTTCAGAAGGAAACACATTTCGCTGAGTTTCTTGGTGTTCTTCATTCAAGATTTCTTGGAGTTCTGCCGTCAAGTCACCTTCATATTCCATTATGAGCTGTTCGATGTCATCCTCGTTCACCTCCAATTCCAGATCTCTCGTAGTTGTTACGATTTCATCCATAATTTCAGGGGTGTCACCCTGATCACCTCCGTCGTCTTGAACGAGGGATGGACACAGCTTTCGCCAGGCAGAAACCAACTGTCGTTGAGTGATTTCTGACCACGCCTTTTCAATAAGACGAATAGCTTCGAGAATGTCAAATTTTTCTAACCAAAATGTTTTTAAAGTCATGATGACGTGTCCGCACACGCGCACATCCAATGATGACGTGTCAGCGCACGCGCACATCCAATGATGACGTGTCAGTGTATGCGCACATCCATTTTCAGGACGAATGGAGGACTGGTGTCGGGTGTTCCGAGAGCCGAGAGGTTTTCGTTAGAATTAGTTTTTGTTCGTTATCCGCATATTGTTCGTTGCTCGAACACAAAAATCTTTCCTGAAAGTGTTCGTTGTCCGATTTGTTCGCAGTCCGAACTGTTCTTTAACCTATCACCCACTGTATTTGCTTTAGCATTTGAATTCGAGCTAATTGTTAGCTTAAAATGAAAGAAGGTCCGGTTTCAAATCTCGGGAAACGGTTGGTTGCATGAAAATTTTCGTAGTTTTTCACATTTGTAACATGAATATAACCCAGTTTCACTTAAAAGTCCTCTGTGAAGGCATTTATCTTCTTAGTCAGATGTTCTTCGATTGCTTTGCAATAATTAGAATAACCGTGTACTCCGCTCTCGGTGTTTCCGACTTTGAACTGGAGTAGCTATCTCATCAAGTTAATTTTATCTGATTAAAATGGCTCTGGCTCTATTCCTGATAAAGGTCTTTTACATCTGTACGTGGCAAATAGATGAAGTTATTAAAAACAATATTTTTATAATAAATTTTGTATTTTGAAAATCTTCCTTATACCGAATATTGCAACCGAGGATTCATCAATTTAAAAATTAAAACATAATCTCTCCCTATATCTTTAGGCTGATTCATTAGAAGGGGATTTCATATTCAAGCATAGTTTTACCAAAGTATACGAAGACTAAATTTAATGTCATACACCGTTATATTTCATGTTTCATAAAATAGTATTTGTTGCTAATAAGCCTTTTATGATATTGTGACCAGTATGTACAACTTTTACTACTTAGGCTAAGTCGGATCGTCCAATACACCGCTTATAATACAATCCCTGTTTCTGTTTTTATGCTGTTGTTGCAGTTCTAGGAGGTATTATGGATTCTTTTAAAAAAATGGCTTTCTTTAACTTCAGACTAATTAGAACAGTCATACGTATTTGCACTGCTTCTTTTCTTTCTTTATTTATTTAATTTCGTTATACGAGCTAAAGGAAGAATTTTAATCTCTAAATATTTCGGGTATCGTATTTCAACAGAAATATCCATTTTGACTATTCCCGAATCCAAGGACGTTTAAATTTTAACATCTAGTTAACTGCTATAACATCTAGTTGTGCATCTGGTCTTCCTATGTGTACATATATATATATATAAACACTCACTTATCCGCTATAAAAGCCCTTACCCAGCCTCTATTTTCACAATCGTTGTTCGTAGTCATAGTACCTTCAATACCTGTGTGAAGGTCGCAGTCCCTTCGCGCAGAGCATTTTATGGGAAATTGCCTCATATATCTATTACACATGTGAAAAACTCCGAAAACTTCCATGCAGTGAGCCGTTTTGCTGTGATTTGAACCTAAAACAAACTACCGGTGTTTAGCGATGTTCAGCAAACTTTTCGTCGCTGATGGGCTGGTGTGCGGCGCAAGACGTGCGATGTAAATATTATGTTAACAAAACTGCCGACATATTGTTAGAATAAGATTATGAGTTGGCATATGCTTACTTACTTCTTATATTATATGAAAGCTGAGAATAATCTTTCTGAAGCAATTCTGAATAAGATTGCTAAACAGCACTTACCTGAAATTTAAAAAAAAATCTTAATCAATGCGCTAGTGATGAAAATTTATTTATTCACCAAAATTCACCAATCGATTTTTAGAGATGTATTAGTGGGTACTAATATCCAAGTACTTAAATACACTTTTTGGAGAGGGGGTCAATCTGAGTTAATATAATTCTTGAAGTCCTCTTTACAAGATAGACAGAGCATTGCAAACTGTACATTTTCGTATTGATTCAAAACCGCAAACAAAATCAGTATTCTCTCATATTGAGATTTTTATTAGTGATTCTACTGTCCTTAAAGTAAATAATGTTATTTCAGGTCTTGGACTCACCCTCCAAACTGCAGTGTCATCTAATTGAACATACATTTGAAGGGAGTTCGCATTATACCTGCTACTTGTGTGCCTCCGTGTTCACTGGCTCGCACCTCCTCCAGCGCCACATGTTGGATCATGGATTGGATTCTAGACCTTATGATTGCTCTGAATGTCGCCAAAAATTCTTTTTCAGGGCAGAGCTAGAAAACCACTCCTTCATCCACTCATGGGAAAATATTAACAGACTCCAGGCCACACCCAATTCTATGGTGAAAAGTAAGAGTTCGTTGTTATTTTCCAACAATTCATTAAAACCCTCTTCTGTTCTCATCCTCCCTACGTTTCTGTTTCTTTTTCTCCTTCCTTTCTCCAAATTTTCTTCTTCTCATTCTCCTTCTCCCTCCTTCTCTTCTTCTCTCTTTTCTGCAATCTCCCAGTGTGAAGCGATATAGAGTATCCTGGAACACATTCGGACCGCTTTAAGTCTGCTAATGTTAAGCAATCTTTACAAGAAACTTGAGCTATGAAAGGTCTACTCTAGTAATGTTCAGAGAAAGGAATGTCACCACACCGAGTAAGGAGCCACCTACGGAAAGCATCACACTGATATTTGGAAACTCACGTTTTCTTTCACACGTTAACTGATGTAGTTCTTCAGGAGCCATTGAATATTATACATTGCATTCTATATTGCATCATCTGAAATGAACCTAGGGTATAGCAGCAGTACCTAGGTTATCATTGGAGAACATCTCCAATACATTATTTTAAAGAAGTGAATTCTTTTTTGTGAATCCAAGACACTGAATTCATTTGTATTGTTGCGTACATACGGGTTCATAATGGACTGAATGCACACAGAAACGATGATAACTTGATAAAATTTATTATTCCAAAAGAAACATTTTATAGCTCTGGAATTTTCCACAAAAGTACTCGAACAGCTCTTCTCAGTATAGCAGCGCACAATTAAAATTTGCCACTTCAAGCTACTAATAACGTTAAACATAATGCAATGCAAAGCGCGTCCACGGAAATCTCTCAATACTCCGAAGTCAGCTCTAACAAAAAACTGAGAACTGATACTCGCTCCGGTTCACGATGAAATCTCTAGCACCTTCCGTTTCTTGAAATTAATGGAAGGCATATATAAAGCGATACAGTTTCAGTTACAATTGCAGTTATTCAATTACGGTACCAGTTACAGTTATATGAGAAATGGACCAAAATGTCGCCAAATAATGACCAAGTTAGGCGACTTTTTGCGATTTCTTGCCAAATTTGGCGACAAAACGTACTCCCTAAAATCGCTAGTTTGGCAATATCTCACTAATGTACAGATAGACATTTACCTTGTTGTTAAATGGGGCCCACCAACGGCCTATCGGTAAAGTCACTAAATACTGATAAGGTTCGGTCTGAGGTGCGAATCCCGCGTAGTTTTCCTCATGTGTAATGTCTATGCGAACCAGTTTCTCTTAGAAATTCCTCCACGAAGGCATCCCTTGCCTTATGCAGATAGTCTTCGAGGCTTTGCCATAATCACATAAGCCAAACCAAACCAACCTCATTGTTAAATAGGCTTAGCTCTGTAATCTTATTTTTCCGGCAGAGCTTTGTTCTCTTCATTTCACGTCACATTATACAAAATGTATTAAAATTTCACACATAATTACACTAAAATTATTTTCATGTAATACAAATTTCGTTACAGTATTTATTGCTGTATACAAGGTGAATCTGTATAAGATTGCAAAACTTTAGGGGATGGTAGAAGGCACCTGTACGAACAATGTTCGTCATAAAATGTATTGTCGAAACGCAAGCGGTGGGAAATTAAAAAGTAGTTTTCCACTGTCACATTTAAAAAATTAGCACAAGAAGGAGAAGAGCTACTTCAAAAAACAATTTTTATCACAGCATGCTCACAGAAATTGCTCAAAAGACTTTCCGCCAGTTGTAATGCAGGCTTCACGCCTGCGAGATAGGGATTGACGCATATTATGCAAAGACACCAGGCATTTCCCGAATATGGCCGCCAACAACGGTGATCCTAGCGACTAGATCCACATTGGTTTCAATTGGGTACTTGTGAATTAGGCTTTTCATATGCCCCTTGGTGGCCAAGCTATTAGACCACCTCGACCAATCCATCGCCCTAGAAATTTAATGATTCATGTAACCAGCAACCCTTCTCTGCAATGTAAGTAGAAAATGCCGTTGGGTGCGAGGACCGACCCTTTTATACCATTTATTTACTATGTCAGCTGGCGGCTCACCGTTTGCGTTCCAACCACACATTCTATGACGAATATTGTTCGTATAGTTGCCTTCCATCACCCCCTAAAGTTTTTCCCTCTTGTTCAGATTCATCCTGTAGAATAAATGCTTTAGCCTACTCTAAAAATTATTAAGTGTTTCAGTGTTTATGATAATCATCGTCATAACTTATTTACCCTAAAATTTCTATGTGCACTCATGATATGTGTTTTTGCATTTATATCGAGCTAAACTTAATTTGTGTACTTTTACCTTTCCCTCAGGCTCTGGAAATACAGAAACTCCTCGTTTATTGTATGGATGTCAAAAATGTCCGTGCGTCTTCGGTAGTGCCAGTGATCTAGCGAAGCATCAACGCTCACACAGCCATGACTCAAATTTCAAACCAGAGCTCAGCTCGCGATCTTCACTACCTTGTCCAAACTGCGGCATGGAATTTGCCTCAAGAGATGATTTGAGAGGACATATGATATTAATCCATCCTTCAACGCCCATGAGAGACGCTTTGTTATCAGAGAGAGGTAACTGATTACTATTTTAAAAAACTGGATTCTCCTGTTTGGAATTTTGTTCCGCCATTATTACAATCTTCCTCATTATCACTTGTTCCCCCATTATTACTGGAACAGAGGATTTTTTAAATGTTTCACAATTTGAAATCATAATAGTCGGTAACTACTAAAATCCCTAATATCACATGATGTAGCATATCTAGTATGAGATGAACCTCTAATATTTTCTGAAACATTTTTACGTTAATTTTCTGTATATACCAAAAGTTTCAGATAAGATTTTATATGAATGCTCCAGTAATAACATAACGAATAAATGCAGTATATAACTATATATGCTATATTTCAATATGTATAACTGTCTCAATAGATCTCGCTATTTCAAAATACCTCAAAATCAAACTTTTATCACTGATTCAAAATACACAAAAAAAACGGTATTTGTTTGAAAAATTCAATTTTTAATTACTAATTATTAATTATTATTTTTTATTTTCAGTACCCAGACAAGACCTGTATAATTTTGATGGGGAAAAGCATTCGGAGGAAAAAATGACTCTTAGGCAGTCTACTAGTAAGGCGACAAGAGAAAAGAAATCATTTGAATGCCCTGTTTGCAAGAAACGCTTCACGAGGAAGGAAAACAGAAAACTTCATATGAAATCCCATCATCAAAATTCCGGATCCAAATCCTTTCCTTGCACGCAGTGTGGTAAAGTGTTTCTTAAGCGCTCAAACGTGAAGGTATGTGAAGGAATATTAAGTTATTTCTTTTAAATATTGAATTAGTTATGAAAACTGAAAGTTCCACGGCTAAGGAATGAATTTCAATGAAAGAAAGGTAGTTTAACAGGAATTTATTACTTAAGTAGATTTTGTTGTAATAAAGTTAATAATTGCTTACTCTTTAAGGATGTTTCATGAAACACTGCCAAGCGTTATACATGAAGAAATCAACGAAAATACCTTGTATCTACCTGTTTCACCCACAACATACCGAATGTAAATTTTATTATCAGTACTTAATGACATCTTACGACATGTCATAATGACATAATTTATAAGTTTTCAAATTCTAAAAATACATTATTAATATTCTCATGTAGTTTTATTATTTCAGAATATCCTTATTTAAAAAATTCTACAAATCAGAACTATTTTTAATTTATATTACTACATTACAAGTTGGCAGTTAAACCTTGCCTCCGTCTTCTGGAACAAAACTTCTAGAAGTAAAATTTCCATTTTGAAAAGAATTACATGGTTCAGTACGTTTCACAATAATCTGCGTAGAAATGCTCATCGCTTATCTCTTGACATTAGAAACCTTTTTTTTTTTTTTTTTTTTAATTGATGTTTTACTTTTAATCGCATACAAACGCTAATATTTACTTCTTCAATTTATATACGGCTACCGAAAATGGTTTCCGAAGTTGACATCAAATATCTTGGTAAATTTCTTTTTCGTATAGGTGTCGCACATTTAGCGTTTCACTTTTATAAAAAGTACTTAATTTTCCTAAATTTAACTACAGGAACGGTATTTCCTAAATATACTAAACTTATATTTAGGGAACTTATTTTCTAATATATTTCTTTTAAGGTATTCCTCCATATATATTTTTATACGGAGGAACGTAAAAAAAAGTTAGATTTCGTAATTTTTACAAAACTGTTTTCTTCAGATTTAAAAATGCCAAAACATGAATATTTGCATCATTTAAAACATTTTGTAACTGGAAATATCTGACTGTGACTAATGATTGCGAAAATAAAGCGTGGTCTAATACTGCGGTACGGTGCATATTAATCTAAGCTATTTATATGAGTAAGTATCGTTTGATCAACAGACGATATCTGCATGATTGAATAAAGACCAAAAACCAATATTACAAGAATTCAATTTTATAAATTTATAAAGGATGGTAATTAATTCACATTATAGAACGAGAGATTCTAAACTATCAGCTAAAAGGGAACTTTTTAAGACCTCTAAAGTTTAGGACACTAAACCACAGATTTCGTAGCCTAAATAAAACTTAAGCCCTGAAATCAGCAACAGCTGAAAGGTTTAGCTGGAAAAAGTAAAGTTATTTATAAAACATGTATTACATTCCCGTAGTTTTGAATTTTCTGACATAACTCAGCAGAAAAAAATGTATCATCCGTAGATTCTTGTATAAATGCGCATATTTCTGAATGCACTTCTCTCAGTTTATTATTGCTCATAGAAAGTTACAAATAAATGTTTATTATAACATATAATGCTTACAGCTGTATTCTTCTTATTTCAGGAACATATGAGAACACATATTACCTCGACAACCCATCCCTGTGAAATATGCGAAGAATTCTTTCCGTCCACTGCACTTCTGAGGCATCATCTTAAGGATGTTCATGATAGAAAATTTGATCACAGTTGCATTGTATGTGAAAATTTATTCGATTCGGAAGAACAGCTACAGGATCATCTGAACGAAGAACATCAAGTAAGAGTTTTAGAGAGACCACCCAATGACTCGGAGAGAGCTGACGACCATTCTGCACCACCGTCGCCTGAGCCATCAGCTTCTGAAGAAGTTCGGCAGTCTGGATCTAGCACAGACGAGCCGGAAGGCAATGATATAGAAACATCCTCTGTCAATGAGCCAAAGACTGAAACCATAGAGTTCAATGGCCCAGAAGAAAGACCTAATCTGCCAGCCGAAGTACTAGCATGACTGGAAAGTTATAGAGGATGTCACTAGTTCTTGATAGACAAGACTTTACTTGTTCTGTGGTTACTTATTTAGTTCTTCAAATTTGGCAGCATTACACCGTCCTCTTCTTTTATTTTCAGCTCGAATATGAACGAGTTCAGGTGTCAAAGCTTAAAAATGGGTCTGGTGTAACTTTGACACTTGATGTATGTTTCAAAAGAAAATGGATTTGTTCATTATACCCTTGCAGAAAACTAGAAGCGAGTGGTTTTGCCATTCGCATGCCAAAATCAAATGATGGCTGAATTTTGAAGACATTACGCCTCTTCGTTGTGAATGTGATAATGTTAAGAGATTTTGTGCTCGCAATGGAGCTATGTGGATACCGGTGCTATTTATTACGAGAATTTTATATTTATTTCTCCCGTATTAAAATTTTATTACTCAAGAAATTTACGTTTATATAAAAAGTATTGTTGCATGACTTCACGCTCAGTACTCGAGATTGTTGCAAAGGATATCCATGACTAGGTGCCAAAACAAAACAATTCTATTTTTAAATTTAATTTAAAAATAGAATTCGTTTTATATTGAGGTTTATCAAAATCACTAAATAGTTACAGCTTTGTTTGAAAGTAATATAGGAGTATTTCATACTATAGACATTTTTAAGCTTTTGCATTCCATGTATTTATTTTAAATCAGTAAAACCAAAATAAAAAAAACGCTAAATAAGGTAATGTAATTATCCTTAAAAAAACTATCTCTCAGACTTTTTAATATTACAAGGAATATGGTTCGAATTCCAATATAACTTTATAATTTGTTTCCTATCTTTTGAGATTTGGCCACGGTAAAAATAAAATATTTAATCAAAGTTGTATTACTTTAACTCTCGTAACTGTCTACGACTCTTACGTATTATCTTGTTGATTCAAAATTTTGGCATGGAATTTTAATATACAACAAATATACATTGTATGCATAAAAGTCTTTACAGGGCCTTTATTTTTGCAAACAATGATTGTAAATATATAATTTCCATTCAGGAAAATGTTTTAAACAACGCTGATTCACATTTCGGCATTTTCAAATTTACAACAATCAGTTTTATAAAAATATGAAACCTAATTTTCTATACGGTCCTCCGATTTCTATATTTTTATTTTAGGAACATTGTATGCTGTATATTAGAGCCTGTAAGGTATTTTTTCCTCTTCCCTTTACGCATGCCTTCGTAATGTAATAAGAAGCATACTCGACGCCTATTCTAGAAGTCCGGGGTTCGAATCCCGGCAAGGGCACTGCATACTTTTCACGTTCCGGCATCGATATAACCTAATTTTGGAAATCATTATAAAAAATGGAACGAGGAACGTTTGACTCCCTTTCGACAAAAATTGACCGAGATGTTTAATTTCAAAATTTAGGATATTTGACATAATTTCTAGCTTGATTTTGAGGGGCCGGTTGGTCAATAAATTAGAATAGTTTGAGGTTGATTTTTTTCTTTTAAATACTATTCCGTGATGATTTATGTTACTTACGTAGTATGAAATATTCTCTGATTTATAATTTTGTTACGATCGGTACAACGAAAGTACTTTTACACATGTAATTTATAAGTTTCTGAACGCTAAATTATGTTCCTAATACTCTCTGAAGTTTTATTACTTTAGATTTTTATCTCAAAATCATAAAAACATTAATTAAAATAGAAATACTTTTAGCTTTTAAATCATGCAAATAATGTTACGAGAACATGCTCAATGTTCTGTAGCATAGAATTCTATAAGATTCGGTAAATAAGAACTGAAAAAAACAAATTCTTAAAATATATATATATATATAAATTTTCAGAATAATCCGCACAGAAATGTTTTCTATCTAGTTTATTAACGCTATATTAAGTTAGATTTCGTGTCTTTTGCAAAATATACTTTCGAAAATGCTAAAACATTATGAACATCTGCGTCATCTGAAATTTTTGTTATTGCAATGATAAGAATACGACCAGCGGTTGTAAAATTGAAGGCCTGATAAGGACTTACGTCTACACACGTTATGTATGCATAATTTATATACATTGGGTATTTTTTTATTATAAAGGCCATCGCGTAAACATCTGAATGAGTTTGAGAAGCAAGTAAGTTGCACGTTACAAATTTGCTGATTATGTTTGTCACTTCTTATAATTAACCACAGTGTTATGTCCTGGTTTCATAAGGGATTAACTAATATAATTACAAATGATTTAAAGATTAAAAAAACAGTAAATGAAAATAACTTAATCATGATATTTAACTCCAGATACTCTTTAACTTCATACTGAAAACCAAATACACATATGTAAATCTGACTCATATTTTAGTATCAATTAATTAAATGCGCAAAATCTCGAATCGATATTATAATCCGTGTTAATTTGAAAGTCAGTATTTTCCGAGACAGAACGACATGTAGGGGAATGTTGCGTAAGTCATATGCCTTAAGGAAAAATAGGTTTAAATCGCTAAGATCTATGAAGAAATAAAATTTATGTGTGGTAATAATATCTTGTGTTGTCGTTGCTGATATTTATTACAATAAAATTCCATGCAATCTACTCTCTTAGATAAAATTAATAAAATTTATGAACTCGTGTTTAATACGACTTGGGCAACTACTATTCTAATTCATACCACTCATAGTTTAAGTCACATTACGTTTAAAATTTTACAATTATAATAAAACTTTCTCAATTAGTTTACTTAGGAGATAAACCCGGTGTGAAACTATATGTATGAATGGCGGTAACTCGTTTTGATGGAAGAGGCGCAGCTGGCGTGATATTAAGCCTAAAATGATACTACTAAAGCTGTGGTACGACTTGCGCAACCTTACCCTAATTACTTTTTTTAAATCAGCTGATATTAATGGCAATAAATTAGAAATTGACATTGGTCAATTTTGGAAAAAATAATTATGATGAGAATTACGTCTAAAGGGGCTTTTTTTAATATCTTATGTGTTACCTTTTTTTTTATTAAATATTCCTGATTGAATATTTCTTCGCACTTAAGCCATACAATTCAGTTCAAGAGCAATATCTCAAAATAATTTCAAATTGAGCATATCTTTAGAATTTCCGATGCACAGTCTCACGCGTTGGTGATAAAAATGTTTTCTCTATACAACGTTCCCATTGCTCGCTTTGAAATCCTTCAGTTTGTTAATCAAAAATTAATGAACATACATACATTTATACAGATTCTTCATTACATAATTTCTTCCAATATACTACAGGGCAATAATATTTGGTGGCAAAAGTTTGAAAAGTGATACAGCCATTTATAGTGTTTCGACGCAAAATTTCAAAACGAAAACAATAATCCCTCAGGAACAAAGCCCCTTTGGACATTAAATCACAAGGAAACACGAAAAGTTTAAACTGAGAAATGTTAGAATCCTTTTCTTAAGAATAAATACCTTAAGACAGTGATTCATTCATAAATTTTTTCTAGCGCCAAATGCATCGCTAGATTAAGTCCTAAAGAAAAAAATGATTACTATTCTTGATGAAATCAATATTCTTCTTACTTCAGTTTCTCACACGGCAAATGCAGTAATTCATTCTTCGGAATTATACGACGGCAGTGAAAATGTTGCAAAGTTTTGGCTGTTCTAAAATATCTCAGTGTGTCATAAAAGCTTAATTTCTCTTATCCAACTTAAAAGTAACAACACAAGACTCATTCGCATTCATAAGGTGCAATATTATGAAATAGAATTCGCTAGTTTAAACCCACTTTAAATAGCTTTGCCTTCACTCATGATTTAAGCATACATGTTTAATTAAATTTATGCTTGTCCGGTGCTCAGTTAAATTCTCTTTCCAGCCCTAAGTGCCCTTCTGAAGAGCTTTGAGCTACGAACAGAAAAAAGTTGTGAATTTCCCATATCAAATATTTATGTAAATACTTGTAAATTTGCATATGTTCCTGGGTGGTATCTTATATAAAAAAATCGTTTAGTTTAAAATGATAATTTTTATTGCAATTATTATTATTATTGTTAAATATATGGAGGTTTTTTTATTCTTATTTATTATGGTGTTCATTGTGTTTTGTTGAAATATTTGCTGAATAACAAACATTCCGCTTTTCATGTGAAATGATGTGGTAATGCATAAAATGAGCATCGAAATAATTTCCTCTTTTCAAAGTGAAATTGTATGTAATCAGCAAATGATAAAATATAATCAGTTATGAAAGAATAATTTTACAGATTAAAATAATAAATAAAAAAGAGTAAACTTTAAGATTTACAATGATCTATACGAGACTGGTTTTCGCAAATCTGTTGCCGTATAGTCAGTCTACTTACATTTTAACCAGTGAATTAACCAGTGATGGCAGCTATGGTTAACAGAAAATCACGGCTCATTAAATTCGCATAAGATTATCAGTTAGAACATTTGTTGTTTATTAATGTATTCCGAATTCACTATATTTAAAATACGTACTATTGTAGATAAAACCTATTCGCTATAATATCATTTGCTGTTACTGCTATCATTGAGAACATATTTCTTTTCCTTTTTCTAGTTTCATACGTAGGCAGTTTCGTTTTACGCTAATAGTTTGTGATTACAGTTTTTTTGTCATTCAGCTATGAACAAAATTAACTCTTTTCAAACAGGACCGGTATGTGCAACTTGGTTTATCCACCCTCGGTTAATGTATAGATAACTTTTTTCCCTCCTTCAATAAATAAATTAAACAAAAAATATAAATAAATAAATTAAGATGATATTTATATTGTCGTTCTCTTACCTCAAAAAATGAGCAGATGTATATAAAATTATTCTAAAATCTCAGCATAATACAAAATTCAGTCTCTTTAAATGAAATATAAATTAAATATTATTTTACTTAAATTCCATACTTCTATTTGGGCATACTTAAACTGAAAATAATATACCGATATCTTACTTCAAGATCTTCATAGACAATGTAAAGATTACACGTTTGCTTCGTAAGAAAAAGTCCAATATTTTGATTATCAAACAATTTATTTATTACATTAATAATCATGTCTTAAAAGCTTGCATTTATTAACTTATATTTAAATTCTATTGTTATATTAAATTTTAATTAATTGAAGATTCACGTAATTTACCAGGAAATACAAATACTGAAAAATAATACTTCCGTGCTTTATTAAGATAGAATTGTAATTATTATTTCTTATTAGATCAGTAATTCTTATTACTTATTTGATCAGTAATTTGTATTACTTATTAAATATTATTTATTTAAGAAAGAATCATATTTAAAAATTTTGTGACAAAAAGTTTCTAATTATATTCTTTTAAAAAAGGTAACTTCTTCATTTTCTTGGAGGAGTTAAAACTTTTAACGGAATTATTTCGACGCTCATGTGCAGGTGGAACTGTATTATATGAAATCTCTGTTTCTGTTTGTTATTCTATCTGAGTCTGTATTTTGTGCTCTGTTGAGTCTCACCTCAATAAAAGTGGTTGGGTCCAAGATGCACAGATATTTGTGTTCCAACATATTTAAGAAAGGAATAAAAAATAGTTTACAAATAAAAGAGTATTGGCTGTATTTACTTTTGTCCTACATCCACACATTAAAACACGCATAGTTGTTGAAATCTGAATGAAATCACTAATCTTTAATTCCTTGCAGCATGAATTTTATTGCCAAGTCATCCTTTTAAACTGCGTATAGTGTTATAGTATAGTGGCAATAAGTTTTATTGTTTCACAATTTCTTATGAATTAGATGTTTCAGCATCTTCTGATACCCGAAGTTTTGTCAATGTAAAAATCTAAGAATGTATTTGAATTTAACATATTGCTAGGTTCTTGGGCATGTAGAGATAAAAGGAAACGAGCTGGACAGTATCGCAGTAAAGTCTGTAGCAGAATTATGTACTCGGCTTGTTCCTCTTGGAGATATTAATATGATCATCATGAGTAAAATAATAAAAATAAATGAAAAAAATCTAAAAGGTTTCAGAATTTTAAATTACGTCCAAAGGGACGTTTTTTTAATGTTTTGTGTGTTGCCTTTATTTATTCAATATCATGTTCTTCGCACTTAAACCATAAACTTCATTTCAATAGCAATATCGCAAAATAATTCAAAATTGAGCATATCTTTAAAGTTTCCGATACACAGTTTTGCGAGCTGGAGATAAAAAGGTGCCCCCCAGGTAGATTGTGGCTATTGCTCGCTTTCGAATCGTTGAGTTTGTTACTCAAAAATTCGTTAAAGTTTTACAAAACATGAAACCAATAATAAAACAGATTCCAAATTTCAAATTTGGTCTCCATATGTCCATATTCGCAGTAGGATTACGTCATTCAAAATTCGATGGCTCTATGTACCGTTGTTTTATCACAATGCAAGAAATATACATACATTTATGCAGATTTTTCATTATTTAATTTCTTCAAATATAATGCAGGGCTGTAACATTTGGTGACAACAGTTTGAAAAGTGAAATTGATATATATATATAGTGATTCAACGCAAAATCGCAAAAAGAAAACAATAGTAATTCAGGGACAAAGCCTCTGTGGAATATTCAGGAAAATAGCAAATTGAGAAGCGCCAACTCTACAGCGGAACATTAGAAGGTTACTAGAAATCGATCATTTTAACTCCTCTTACAATTGGTCACTCTCGATATGCACATAATTTACATTCTAAAAGTGGAAAGTGAACCTTTTTTGCTTAAACTGTAATGTTATTCTCTCGGGGAGGCGCATTTTAATAGGGTGGATTTATTTTAACAGGCATCGTGTTAAATATTTATGTTATATAAATGTTTTAACATTCTTACGTAATTACGTTAATATAAATGTTTTAACATTTCTTACGTAATTCTTCGCCGCTTAATCGGTTAAAATATTAATCTTAATATATTTCAGCATTTTGTAAGGATTTTAAGTTTTACTAACGTTTATTTTATTTTAAAACTTTGCTATCCTCTCTGATTTTCCATTTCCGGCCAGAATAAGCGCGCGTAGAATTGTTTATGCAAATGAGGTTGCAAACTGTGTAAGTTTTTAAGATATGGCTTTTAGCCAAAAGATAAAAGAATCTCCTCGCTGTCTTACCACGTGCGTGCTTTTCGGCCAGCTCATGTCTGCTTTAAGGTCAGAACTTCGCGCTGATATTTGAAGACGTATTGTAGTTTTTTTATATTCCGCTCACTACATACGAATATTAAAATACCAATCTTCGTGTTACTACTCTCTGTACAGCATCTTAGTTCTTATTTAGTCGAGTTAGTTTATATCTTATTTTCTACGTTTTAGACCATAAACGCTGGTCCCTGTATCCCGAAGTGTGGGAACGGCTATACGCTGTGAGAAATAAAGGGTAAATTTACCTTATCTTTGTTGTATCTTCTACACACGCAAAACATAGTTTTAAGTAATCTCCCTCTTCCTACTCAGTATTCCGGTTATATTTCCAGAACTGCTGTCAGGATTGTCAGGACTGCTTTTAAAAATAGCTGAACATATTTTAACCCTTTATGTCCCAAATTACTTTATTTTTTGAAAAAGGGGTTTGTAACTTTTTTATTATATTTCTTTATATATAAAAAGCATCTCATGTTAAACTTACAAAAATATTGTAAGTTTTTCATTGCTTTTTTCAAAAAATTTAAAACTCCCATCGGACACAATTGAGCGATTTTATTATGGAACTTCAAAATCTCTTTGGGAAATAAAGGGTTTAATGTCCTTCATGTATTGGGGCTTTTATCTTATTTTATACTCGAGATAATTCTCTTGTAAATTTCATGCACCTTTTCGTCACAGCTTTTACCCCTGTACATTAGGATATAATTTTAATTTGCTTTATAATTTTGTTCCCATTCATTTTTTAACGTAACATTAATTAGTTTTATCTATATATTACTTAAATTGGTTTTAGTATTTTAGTCTATTATTTGAGAAGAAGATATATTACAATTCATAATCTTTCCATCATAGTCATTCTTAATCATAATCTCATACCCTGGCGCCTCATAATCGTTGAAGTTATAC